AGAGAGAGAGAGAGAGAGAGAGAGAGAGAGAGAGAGAGAGAGAGAGAGAGGGCATTCAGTGGGAAAGAAAACCTTAAGTCCCTTTTTCTAAATCCTGATAAATTATTTTCTGATACATTCAATGTTTGTATGCTGTTCACTTGCTTTAATTTGAGCTATTGGATACCAAAAAACTGCAATATATTGCCCTTTTTATTCAATTAAAATGACTGAATATAAGAATGTTTTTATAATTGTTACCAATCCTAACGAAGGACTAAGTAGTGATTCAATAACGTGTTGTACTGTACTATGTTTCTTGGTTTCTTGTCAACAGCGACCTCTGTTGGCCGTGACGCAGAATGGTTTTGACGTAAGTTCCGTTGACGTGGACGCATTAACCGGAAGTGAGTTTTCATTTTGGCTACGTGGAAGTAGCTTCTCTTATGATCAAGGCTGAGAGCATCCGTTGCCCTCATCGGTCTGCTTCATACCGACATAATGATTAAAAAGTTTGACAAGAAGGACGAGGAGTCTGGTAAGATTGGAGAGCTATTATTTAAAAAAATTGACAGCTTTTGAAAAATGGAAATAGTGTCTGTACTGACGAGATGTTGGACGCTTTGGAAGCTAACGCGGAGCTAGCCTGTTAGCTGACTAGCTAAAGTTACGTCAATACCTGCTCGTTAATCGTGGCTTGTAGGCTAATTTATATTTATTTAACCGGTTATGCAGGTCAAATGGTACCCAATTTGCAGTGAATGTGTAACCGGTTGTGTTTAATGTCACGATAATACTAACGCCTCACTTCAGCAAAGCTTAGCGTTAGCATTGCAAGCTAGGCAGTGTCAGCTGGATGTTGTGATGTTTTTTTTGCTCGATATAAGAAGTGTCCTCTCCGAACTGGAGCTCAAAATATAGATGGATGAATGTTGCTGCATTGGTGCTTTGATTTAAAGGAGATCTGCCTTCACGTTTACTAGTGTTGCTTAGCCTTCATGTGTTTTAGTTATTGAGCCATCTGTATTGAATACACGTAGCATAAGCTGGTGACAAAGTCGTTTCCGTGTGTGGGCTTTGAATAACACGTCAAAGGGTTTAGCGTTAACTGAACGTCTGACTCTACTGTTTCGACATTTAGGAAGTGGGTCGAACCCTTTCCAGCATCTGGAGAAGAGTGCCGTGTTGCAGGAGGTAAAGTCTGCACTTGATCTATTGCTTACAATCTGCACGTATAGAAAACAACAAGTACCAGCTGAAGAAACGACATCCTAACCACTGACATGACATGATTGTGTCCCTTCTCGTTCACAGGCGCGTATCTTCAATGAGACCCCTATCAACCCAAGACGATGCCTCCACATTCTCACCAAGATCATCTACCTCCTCAACCAGGTAAGACGTTGTTTGACAAAAATGTGAAGTAGCTTTTTAATGGCATGTGTTTGTGTCTGCTCACTCGCACGTCTTTCTTTATTAAGGGAGAGCATTTTGGGACCACAGAGGCCACGGAGGCCTTCTTTGCGATGACCAGGCTCTTTCAGTCCAATGATGTAAGTTATTATTCATTCATTAGTTAATGGGTTAGATACTTCATGTTTTTTTTTTTTTTTTAGATTACATTTTAGCTCAAGTTGCATATCATCAGTCAGTAGGAATCAAATATAACTACAGTAAGCTTATACTCTTTCTGTTTCACTCAGCAAACCCTGAGAAGGATGTGTTACCTGACCATTAAAGAGATGGCCAACATCTCTGAGGATGTTATTATTGTCACTAGCAGGTTTGTACCTTGACGTTAAATATTTTTGAGTATCGCCTGTATGCAAATACTGATATTTCTCCCGGGAAGTTTATTTGTTGTTGTACTGCAGCTGCTATTATCCAGTATATACAACATTTAGATTTCTCTCATGTTGTTATGAAATCTGACTGCAGAGGAGAAGAACTCTTTGTAAATGTGTGTTTGTAACTCTTTTAATGTGTTCCATTTTCATTTAAGACACACTGTCTTTAACAAGTCTTTGACTCCTTGTGTGGTATTTAACAGCTTGACCAAAGACATGACAGGGAAGGAAGATGTTTACAGAGGACCTGCTATCAGAGCCCTCTGCAGGATTACAGATGTGAGTGCCCTTATTGTCTCCCCTTCTCCTCCTCCACCGTGTCATCTCATGCAAGAAAGAAAATATCCTGAGTATAGTATTTCATTAATATCATTTGTTTGTTATGTTGTCCTCTTCTTTTCCACAGACAACGATGCTGCAGGCCATTGAGAGATACATGAAACAGGCTATTGTTGACAAGGTGCCCAGTGTCTCCAGCTCAGCCCTGGTCTCCTCACTGGTAACACATGTCACAGTTTGATATTTTACTTGCTCATCTAAAAGTATTTGTATATCATATCATATGTTTGGTGGGTGAACCTTTGTCTTCGTGCGTGTTCAGCACATGGTGAAGATGAGCTACGATGTGGTGAAGCGTTGGGTGAATGAAGCCCAAGAGGCTGCTTCCAGTGACAACATCATGGTCCAGGTGGGTAATGCAGACTTGCATAAGGACATGTGAATTCATGGTATTTTGAAGTTATCTATTATGATTTTGTAGAGGGGAAAAAAAATATGTCCGGTAAAACTTTATGGACTTCAATTTCAATGCCGTTTCCTGTGTGTGTCCCGTATTCCAGTACCATGCCCTGGGCCTGTTGTATCACCTCAGGAAGAACGACCGTCTTGCTGTCACCAAGATGCTCAACAAGTTCACCAAGTCTGGTCTCAAGTCTCCCTTTGCCTACTGCATGCTCATCAGGATCGCCAGCAAACTGCTGGACGAGACGGAGGGAGGGTGAGTAGACCTTCTGGTGCTCAAGCAGAAACGCACACAAGGACATCTGGGTACTTGCATTTTTTACAGCGTTGTATTCTGTCTCCCATGTTTTCAGTCACGACAGCCCCTTGTTCGACTTCATTGAGAGCTGCCTGAGGAACAAGAACGAGATGGTGGTGTATGAGGCTGCCTCTGCCATTGTCCATATGCCCAACTGTACTGCTCGGGAGCTGGCCCCTGCTGTGTCTGGTCAGTAGTTTACTCACTCCTCCACACTTTTTTCATGTCTAACTGTCTAGTTGACCGAGAATAGAATGACGTGTTGGCGAGTCCTCAATGTGAATGTATTTGTCTTCCTGCAGTGCTGCAGCTCTTCTGCAGCTCTCCCAAAGCAGCCTTGAGATACGCTGCAGTGAGGACCCTCAACAAGGTACAGCGTCACTCTCCATCCCTCCTTCACCTGGCTTTTTTTCACTGTACGATTAAACCAGACTGTTACACTGAATGAGCTACTCTGACATTCTCCTTTGTGTCCACTAGGTGGCCATGAAGCATCCATCAGCCGTGACTGCGTGCAACTTGGACCTGGAAAACCTGATCACCGACTCCAACCGCAGCATCGCCACACTGGCCATCACCACTCTGCTCAAGACCGGCAGCGAGAGCAGCGTGGACCGACTCATGAAACAGATCTCCTCGTTTGTCTCTGAGATCTCTGACGAGTTCAAGGTGAGTCACTGAACCAGGCAGAACTTAAACGTTTAGAGTGGTCCTGTCCTGTGTCTGGATGTTGTGTTGGCTTTGTGACGCAGTGCTTGTTGAAAGGTTGTTGTTGTTTTTTTTTTAATCACCCAGGATGTCAGATTCTGTGACCCCAAAATATTAATTTCCAATAGGAGATTCCCTGCTTCGTTTGCCTTTTTAATCCCGTTATTATTATTTTTTCTGTGTCCTGAATCTGTCGCTGATGCTTGTTTATTCCAGGTGGTGGTGGTGCAGGCCATCAGCGCTCTGTGCCAGAAGTATCCCAGGAAGCACAGCGTCATGATGAACTTCTTGTCCAACATGCTCCGAGATGATGTAAGTTGATCATTAACAGACCACCGACCTTAACACTTTGGACTCGAGAGCTTCTTTATCAGTGATACCCTTATCCATTAAGAGAAATGCTGAAGTCACAGGTGGCCTTTTGGGAGCTTTCCTGCTTTTCTATATGTTTTACAAAATATTTAGTATTTCAATTACTTAAATTTGGTTTACAAGTGCTGACGTTAGTTGTCACGGACTTTATAGTCCAACAAAATGAGTGTTTAGCAAAAGATAAATAAGACTGAAATCTGAAAATACAAATAGGTGGATGATTCATTTGTGTGTTCATTCATGTGTGTGGATTATAAGGGTTCAGTCCACCGTTTATGTGTGGGTCAAGCATATACTGTATGTAGCCTGTGTACTGTTAGTCAGTCAAAGCCTACTTTGAATGTTGCAGTTGTGTTTAAGACTTGCAGTGAACACGTCTCCTCTCCCCGCAGGGTGGTTTCGATTACAAGCGGGCCATCGTGGACTGCATCATCAGCATCATTGAGGAGAACCCAGAGAGCAAAGAGACGGGCTTGGCCCACCTGTGCGAGTTCATCGAGGACTGCGAGCACACGGTGCTGGCCACAAAGATCCTGCACCTACTGGGCAAAGAGGGCCCACGCACCCCCCAGCCCTCCAAGTACATCCGCTTCATCTTCAACCGAGTGGTGCTGGAGAGCGAGGCTGTTCGCGCAGGTGAGACGGAGCAGGACACTGTGTGAGCCTCAATATGTACCACCGAGCTGAGTTTTGTGTCAGACCCTCTCTTATTTTGGCAGCACATTTGTGACATCTTGGTTATTAATATTCCCATTATTTTCATGGAATTTTACAACATGTTGAAACATTTGTTTCTTCTTCCCCCCTCAGCCGCAGTCAGCGCTTTGGCTAAATTTGGAGCTCAGAACGATGATCTGCTGCCGAGCGTCCTTGTTCTCATGCAGAGGTACTCATTTACTTTCACTTGCTCTTATGTGACTGTGTACTCCTACATTTCATCTTGGTATTAAACAAAAACATACATTTGTTTTCTAATGAAGATATAGTCTGACTTCAACACACGTGTCTGTTCTTCTAGGTGCATGATGGACAGTGATGATGAAGTGCGCGACAGAGCTACTTTCTACATGAACGTGCTACAGCAGAAGCAGAAGGCTCTGAATGCTGCTTATATCTTCAACGGTAAACACACACACACACACTCGGGGCTAAATGCAGTTCATAGTGGCTGCTGGTCAAAATGTACACACCATGCGTACTAAGAGAGCAGCTCGCAGGGCAAACGCTCTGCAGGTGATGTCAGAAATGTTAAAGTTAACGTCTCCTCTTTTGTGTGTTGCTCTCAGGTCTGTCTGTTTCTATCCCCGGACTGGAGAAGTCCCTCCACCAGTACACTTTGGAGCCCTCAGAGAAACCTTTCGACATGAAGAGTGTCCCTCTGGCCACAACTTCTATCTCAGAACACAAAACCGGTACAACTACATAGCTATTAACCAATCTGCCCATGGTTTTATACTCCGCTGAGAAACTATTACTGTCAAAAATCAGATTGTTAATGTTTTTTTTTCTTCCCAGATAACACCCCTATTGCCACCAGCAAACTGCCAGATAAGTTGACCCCATCACGCCATGACATCTATCAAGGTAAGATTGTGAAATGTCTGTCCGTCCTCAGATAGACACTGATGCTCACCTTCATACTCCGGCCTGATATAATTGAATAGAATTACAGTCCCGTCTGTCGTCTCTTTGTTTTAATCGCTCTCTGCTTTTCCTCCATTTACAGAACAACTGGCAGCCATCCCAGACTTCCAGGGTCTCGGGCCGCTCTTCAAGTCCTCTGAGCAGGTGCAGTTGACGGAGGCCGAGACGGAATACGTGGTGCGCTGCGTCAAACACACCTTCGCCACGCACATGGTGTTCCAGTTCGACTGCACAAACACCCTGAATGACCAGCTCCTGCAGAAGGTACCGGCTGAGATGTTTCATGGTCATTCTTGTTTCATAAAACTTGGATTTTATCTGAAGATCCATTTAGATATTTTTCTGATATTCTGTAATTTCTTTATTTTGACTATTTATCAGTTTTTGCTGCGAAAAACAAAACAGTCAACACATTGGGAATACAATTGAAAGGAATGTATGGTGTGGTTTGTTTCAGGTCGTAGTGCAGATGGAGCCATCGGAGTCCTACGAGGTGATGGACTACATCCCAGCTACCAGCCTCCCCTACAGTCAGCCTGGTTCCTGCTACACTCTGGTCCGCCTGCCTGAGGACGACCCCACCGCTGGTAGGAACACTGGGACGTTATTGGGCTAGTGGGAGCAGTGACAGATTGTCAAAGAAACTGATAGTTCGACACAATTTAGATCACAAGTAGGTTCATCAGTCATTCACCAGCCTTTTCGAAATACTACACCATGTGGTTTTCATGACTTGTACAAGTTCCTAAAGTAACAGTTTTTGAGTAGCAAATTTAAATCCTTACTGAAATATTATCGATTTAAGAAAATTGTGTTTAGATATATCTTCTCTGTCCCCAGTGTCTTGTACGTTTAGTTGTACGATGAAGTACTTGGTCAAAGACTGCGACCCCAACACAGGAGAGCCTGACGATGACGGTTATGATGACGAATATGTGGTACGTGATCAAAGCACACGCACAAACTTTCAACACAAGGACAATGAGCGTTGTTGTTTTTTTTTTTTGTTTTTTTTCATCAATGTAAATTGTTTCTTTTTAAAAAGCTGCTCTCCTCGTCCTTCCATCTTTCTTGTGTTTCTTGTCCTGCTCTTCGTTAGCTAGAGGATCTCGAGGTGACGGTTGCAGACCACATCCAGAAGGTTTTGAAACCGAACTTTGGAGCAGCGTGGGAAGAAGTAGGAGATGAGTTTGAGAAGGAAGAGACTTTTGCTCTGGCGTCTGTACGAACTTTAGACGGTAAGTCAGAAATTGAGGCTGAAATAATGAATGCACATTAGAAAGTCAAAGGTCAACTTACAAGAGTTTATGTCGTCCAATAGATGCAAGTTTGTTTTAGTCGTCATTTCTACAAAACATGTGATTGAGGCTCTATGCACTAACTGAGACCCAGTGTCTTACTTGACTCGTCTGTTTTCTTTTTGTACAGAGGCGGTGGGTAACATCATCAGCTTCCTGGGAATGCAGCCATGCGAGCGCTCTGACAAAGTCCCCGAAAACAAGAACTCGCATGTCCTCTTCCTCGCTGGTGGGTGTTGAATGTCAGGATGGTTTTGGTCACAGTTTGGTCTTTTTAAAAAAAAAGATTGCTTCATTAAAATTGTTATTTTGTCTCTCATGCAACTTAAAGATATTTTTAGACATCAAATGCCGTAACTACAAGTAGCAGATATCATTTAGTGGATTCCAAATGTTAAAGAATGTCATAATATAGTATGTTGAAAAAAAGCAATTAAAAAAAGTCAAAAAACGGTCATAGTATAGCATGTCGAAAAAAGTCATCCCTAAATTTAAATGCCAGGTGTGCTTTGATTGGCTTCTGACAGCTCTCCCTCCCTCTCTTCTCAGGTGTGTTCCGGGGATGTCACGATGTGTTGGTTCGTGCTCGCCTGGCGCTGGCTGACGGCGTCACCATGCAGGTGACGGTACGCAGTAGTGAAGAGACGGTCGTTGACGTCATCCTGGCCTCGGTGGGCTAAAACCCCCGCGGTGGCGCTTCCTGTCAACGAACCACAGGACCTTTCATCTCTGCACGACAAACTCTCTGAGACGCCACTTACTTGTTTTACACAACTCTAAAAGTAAAATATATAATGATATTGTGTTTATTATGCTGACACCATCCAACCTGAAAAACAACATTTTATCACTTCTAGAAAGTGTTTCTTCACTCTGTCTTTATACTTTCTGCTGGTTCTTGTGTTTTCTTTGCAGTAAGAATATTCTTCTGTCAAATCTTCAATAAATTCTGACTGTCAAAATACATCAAGTTTTACTCATTCAGACACTTTTTTTTTTATTTTACAAAACTAGTTTTATTTAAAGAAATGCTGACATTTAGGCATTTCATTGACAAGAGAAATGTAGAAAATCATTCAGAATAAATTCACTCAGAATGCAGCTGTGCAGGACAGATGTGTCCAATAATCACACAACCCAACATAACTTTCAGTATCATGCTGAAAGATGATCCATAAATGAACACTGTCACCATCAGATTAGTCATTCACTTGCAATAAGTACAATTATTCATGTTTCTAGCTCACATTAGATGTTTTCCATGGTATTAATTGACAATTTAGGAATTGATGCTGGTAAATTAGCCCATCACTGGTGATTAAATCTCAAACTGATGCATAAGTCGCAGCTTAGTGACGGCATAACTCCTAATTAAAATCATTAGGAAAGGTCTTGGCGTCACGTGTGACCTTTTATCACTTTGAATAAGTGCTGCAAAAGTACCAGACGGCGTGTTAAGAGTCTGAATTCATTCACGAACACGGGGTGTTTCGCATTTGGTAACCTCTCAGAAAGAGTGGATAAAATTGAAATATGCATTGAGGAAGCCGGAGGGATCTTCCAGCTGAGGATAGTGACTGATGTGTTCATCCAAGATGGTGATCGTCGACCTCTGGACCAGCTGCCTGCAGGAACAAGATACATATTTAAGATAGACGATATTACCGCAAACATAATGAAGATCTGCCAGGAGATGAGAGTACTTCCGTTTAATCTGAATGGGGTCTAAAGACTAAGAGGCGGGGGGGCACTCACTGGTAAAGACGGATGAACTGAGGATGAGGGTTGACAGGGTCCAGGGGTCCGTAGATCATGTGCACTGAAAGACAAAGAGGGGCGTGAGAGGGTCACAGAGGAAAAGATGGAGGGAGGAACACTGAGAAATGGAGGAGTGATACAAAAGGGGAGGGCGGATCGTTCTGAAAATGGAAGTAGGAAATAATAAAAGACAAATTCTAGATATGAAAGTTAAACAACATATATTCAGATCAGTTGTTGAGGCAGATATACACTTATATACTGCAGGATGACACATTGTTTTCTTAACCACCCTCATCATTTACTCACTGACACAATGATTCAGAAGAACGCCTTTTAGCTGCATCTGACATGAGGTCTGTGTCAGTAGCACACACACACACACACACACACACGCCCGTCCTGAGCGCAGGATCACAGATGGACGACGAGGCTTCTCCTCATAGGGTAAGCAGCTTAGAATCAGCGGCTCTCTGGCCGAGGCTGCTGGGTTAATACACCTTAAGGGAGTGTTTGGCCTACACGAAAGAGCTTCCACCCTCTGATTTATCAACAAACATGCCACGATGACACTGTGAACTCACGTGGGACGATGGTGGAAGTGAGGGTGCCCACCCATCGCTCTCTGTGTTTTAATCTCTGGTTGATGAACTGCAGAATACTGAGAGAGGCAAAGAAGACAAAATGAGTGAACAAAGATGAAGAGCAACAAAGATAATTAAGGCCATTTGAATACAAAGCAAGCAAACACACACACACACACACACACACACACACACACCTGTCTAACACTAAGTTGCCATCGTTGTAGCGTAAACCTGTCCACATGTCCCAGAACTCAGCGTCTGTGGGCTGCGTGTACGGACCGAACACGTCTCCGATCCTACCAGTCAACAGAAAACAAAACAATTTGTTTATGCACCTACATACTGGTACAAACATGTACAAACATATATTTAAATCTCCCAATTTGAAAGAAAACTCTGGTTCTCTTTACCCTTTTTGGAAGATCTTATAGTTGGTGAGACGCGTCAGAAGTGGAGCCAGAAAACTAGAGTCCTTCAGTAGCTTTTGGAGGCAAAACAAAAAGGTCTCAGTGAGAATTTTGACAGCCAAATTTTTTAAAATATAACAAATTGGCAGGATGAAGAAAACAAAGGTGACTCACCGTCTGCAGCAAACGTGGGTAATGTGTTTCTGGGAATAATCCTGTTGGAAATAAAAGAGTCAGCACTGACCTGCTATTTACAACATGACCCGAAGACAATAGGCGGCACTGTACCTCCATTGGAAAGACACAGGCTGTTGAAGATCAGGTGACCTGTGCGGTTTTGGTCACTTCTGTTTGGGAGAAAAAGAAAAAACAACAGACAGGAGGAGTGGTTAGCAATTCATCATTTATACTCTGTTTTTGACATTTGCATGAATATAGTGGCACACACACACACACACACATACCTGTAGAGCAACTCCAGGGCCACAGTGTCTCCATAGTCATGGGACACCAGATTGACTCGCTGGTTGCTCAGACCCAAGTGAGCCACCAGGGCCTCCACCACACTGGCCTGCTCGAAGATGGAGTACCTGTGGGGTCGCTGGGATGGGAAAACATGTGTTAAGGAGGAATAACAGAGCGTCATGCAGGACGTATAAGAAACAGTGTTTATCTATAAAACAAAGACATTTAAACTGGCACAAAATGAACTCACTGGCTTGTCACTGAAGCCAAAACCCAGGAAGTCCAGTGCAATGACTCGATGGAAGCGCTGAATGAGTGGCTCCCAGATCTGTATAGAAAAAAGAAAAATTTTGGTTTTTTAATGGTGCTTAGCTGTGTACTGAGCGTGTGCAGTGGCTACCTTGTTCCAGTCGAAGCTGGACGTAGGGAAGCCATGGAGCAGAATGATGACATCAGAGCTTCCCAAAGCACCATAGGAATCTAGTTTGAGGAGAAAAGAGAAGCGCATGTACGATAAGCACGTGTGGCATGAGGACGCCACTGTACTGTACTTCTGTCATGTTGTTGACTGTGTTGTTGTACTATTGTCAGCCCTAGTCTCAGCTGACGACCATTACAAGACCCGTGACAACCCATGCATGCAATTTAAGCAATTAACCTCAAATCCCCCCTCTTACCTCTGTAGAAGATTTCCCTGCCTCTGAAGTGAAACACCTCACCGGCACTGTGCCACTTCTGCAGGGAAGGTGACAGTTGAGGGGGCGGGATGTGAAGGTAGACGGCCACCAGCGGGATGCAGATCAAACCCACGTGAACCCACCACTCTCTCATCTTGAGCTCAGGGGTGATGGAGTCTCATTCCTGCCTCTGAGAGACGGGGTTCACGAGCAACAACAAAAGACAAAAGTATAGTAAGTGGAGGCGTAATCAGGAGTGATGCTGCCTCCAAAACCTGCGGTGTTGACAGTAATACATTAATATAGCGTGATAATTTAATGTGCATCTGTGTGGGCTTCTCACTGACACTCGATTAGGGATTCAGCGATGCATGAAGTTTGGCTAAAAAAAAGAGCGATTTAAGGGGAATGTCGAATAACGTCCAATTTACGAGAGCCAAACACGGCTTTAATCCTCCATTAAACTGGTTCTACTGCAGGCTATGTTTGTTTTGTGAGGCTGACACTGTAGAAGACTGCAGCACTTACAGAAATGTCGCAACTTGTGGTTAGCGGACCTTCGCCCAGTGTTTAGAGTCCATTACTGCAGAAGGAATACATGCAGAGCGGAAAGGAACGACAGTTTGCGACAAGGAGGAAGAAGAGCACGGACGTCTCACTCTGTTGCAACTTCCGGGTTCCGCACGCGTTTATCAAAATTGACCAGCGATAAAGACGTTAAGTTATAATTGTCGCCAGACTGAGACGTCCCAGCAGCGTACGTACCTTGTTGAGGTTTTTACCACCCGTCAAGAAGCCAAGACTGAGCGACTCACCCCAACAATACACAATCTTTGTTAAGAGAGCTACAAGCGGAGTTCACTGCCCTCTGCTGGTGTGGATGTGAAATGACATGTAATGTTGTTAATCTATTGCACATTGTAGAGCTGAAATTATAAATCGATTATAGATCGTCAGAAAATGTAATGGCAATATTTTTGATAATCTATTAATTGTTGTAATTCTATAACTGCTTTTATTGTTATCCATACTATTTTTCCTGTGCGAGTACATTGAGAAAAAAATGCAAATGCATGCTATAGTATGACTTCATGACTTTTTTCAACATACTATACAATTTCCTTTTTCGACATTATACTAGGACTTTTTTTGGACGTTCTTCCGACATACTATACTATGACTATTTAATAACTTTTTGCGACATAATATTCAATTACTTTTTTCCACATACTATACCATGACCTTTTTCAACACAATATATACTATGACTTTCAGTAATAGTTTAAGCTTTTTCAGCGTCCCCCCACTGGGAGGCGCTACAGATACACAAACAACTGATGAACTGGTAAATCAGTTTACAACTTAACTTCACTTGTATATAGATGTTTTACTTCTTATTTTATTGTTGGTTATTGGTGCTTTTTATATATAAACCTATAGTATTTATATTAACACCTATTTTTGTTCACTACTTATGTACATACCAGTTCTGTCAATTCTCTACCTTTATCTGTCTAGCTTTGTTGTCCCTAGCTGTTATTTCCATTTCTGCATTATATGCTTTGAGAGGGACGCAAATAACCGGAGTCAAATTCCTTGTCTGTGGATGCATACTTGGCCATCCTTGATTGGTCCTTAACATGCCTCTACTAAAACCCCTCAACTTTGCTCTGCTTCACTTTATTGGCATCAGTCTGTGTAATGCTCAGATGTTGTGATATGGTTTGCTGGAGGTCTTGGGCTGCAACTGCATGGATCCAAAGGGATATTCACTCTTGGTCTGTACGATTTTGTTCGGGGGTAAATAAAATCTTTCATTTATGGTACATCCCATATTTATTGACCCTGACCCAGTAACATACCGTATATATGGATGGCAGAAATCTCACAAGTTTTACTTTTAGTATGATACCAAGATTATTCAAATAGACATCTTAGTTGCAGAGATGCATGTCATATTCGAGCAGGGGCCTGTGCCAGAGGTCTAGGGGAAAGTCTATTTCTTATTCACTCTTAAGTGAAGAGTGAAACAAAACACTCCCTATAAGCGCTGCATTGTGCAATGCTCACTGCCAACCTGCACCAGTGTCCAGCTATCCCTTCATCTGCATCTAACAAAAAGCTCCAACTTCATCACTTAGAATACTGCTACAGTTATAACATGTATTTGCTTAAGAGGGCTATTTCAGAGAATGTGAGTTTTTAGTATATTTAACAATGGTTTGGCTGTTACATAGCTATAATCTAATAGTTATAATACATTTGGAAATTGTGCAGTTACGCAGAAAAGCAGCTTTCTTGTGAGAAAATCCCCCTCACTCAAGATCGGGATGTTCTGCAAGATGTTTGCTTGCCTTCACTGCAGAAAGTAAAAGGTCCTCATTTGAATACATAACTCCATTCCAATAAATACTGCACGGTAAATGAAAAACATAGCCCTGCAGTTAGGCTAAATACATTTTTTATTTTTAAAAACCATACACATTACTCGACAAGTTTCAAATGTAAATCCAATCACGATATCCATTTAAAATGCTCAAGATAAACAGACATGAAGTACTTTTATTTCCAAATGTTAAAAGATAAAAAATAATAATCCATAAAACAGATGGAAAAACATTCTTTCCCATTACAGGAAGAAGCTACAGAACAAACTCCTCATATGGATTCCGCTCGTCTTTTCAATTTCTCACTTTTATTTTTTTTTTTTTTAATGCAATCCTAGCTGCTATTTTGTCATCTGTAAAACAAAGCATTCCCTCAGAGGACGTTGTGATTTAACATCTGGAACTCCTTCCCCCCTGTCCACGGCCCTAAAGGTGAAGATGGCCAGAAGGCTGCAGGAATAATGTGCAGCCTGCTGCCCAAGTCATCCTGTGTTGTTGACAAGCACCATCCCAAACATTTTGAATTAAGTGTGGTAATATACAAACTAACGGAGGCTTGTTCTCTTTCACACCATTTGCACCCTGAGATGAATATTCCAGAACACACATTTTAGTGGCCAAAACCCTCCCCATATAACGTGATTGGTGTCAAATCATCCAAAATCGGGTTTCGTACGATGAAAGGTATCATCAGTATTGTCATAAAAATACAAAGGTACACTTTTTTTTATTATGATTTGTATCAAAATTATTTTTTCCCCAAGGAACGCTATGAAATAAAGTACCCTGTGCAGATAGATACCAGTGTATGCTCTAGACTTTATTCTTGAAAAATGTCCAATTCTTTAGCGTTTCCAGTACATCAGGTGTCAAAAATATTTTACAAACAAATCAAATGCAGCAACATTTATCCACGGTGAACGGAGTCTTATGGACAGGGTTGGAAAAAAAAAAAAAAACTATTTTCCCCCACGTTTTTTAAAATGCCAACAAACTAGAACTCGGAGGAGTAAAATTAAGTATTCCCTAAGGCATGATCTTAAAAGATTGAATGAAATATGAAAATAATTCACTTGCTTTTTTTTTTTTGACCAAGACAATAATCCACTATCTAAATACACAAAGTGAAGTTAAAAGGGTCTCTTTTTAGATTCCTTCTTTAAATTAAATACTTTTTCTATGCCTGAGTAAACAAATGTCAATATTGTACATTGGCAGGGGGGGGGGCGCGAACATTTTGCTGAGAGAAACAAAAACATAAATTAAATGCACCAATTAAAAAAAAGAAAAAAAAAAAAAGACGACAAGGGTCCATATTTATCAAGCATCCAGAGAGAGAAACTCTTTCACAACTGGCCCAGAAGGATCAGCATGAGGCTTATTTGGTCCTACGTTTAGCTGTAGGAGTAACAGTGTTTAACCTGGGAGGAGTTACCTGCAGGTGGAACATGAAGGGACAAAGCATCGCCGAAATTGTTATTGTAGCCAAGGCACATTCATGTTAAGTCTATATAAACGTCTTATTGAAAAATAAACAGGCGCACTGGCTGACTAGCATTACTTTCAACTCAAATGGTCGTAATAAAACAAACAAAAAAAAGTGACAAACTAAGTCATTTTAGTGTTTTTATGAGCTTTGGCAAAAACAAATTGTAAGCGTTAACATGCATAAAGTACTGATACACTCATGAGTGTTCCCTGCATCAAATAATCTCCATCAGCTTCTTTTGAATGTGACTAATAAACTACTACAAGACGACATTTTCATTTTACGTTACAAAGTGTTGTAAAACCACAAAAATCTACTTCTACTTCCTGCTGAAAGCGACTGTAGGAGGCTTCACGAGGACCACGCTGTCCAACTCCGAGGTAAGACTTTGTTTCAGCTTGATTCTAGGTGTCAGTCTGTGATGCTTGCTAAATACGGGCCCGGAAACTATTCTCAACTCCCTTTAATTAGTGAACCTTTCAACATGTGGAAATCCTTGAACACAACATAATGAATGAAAAGAGAATCCAGAAGGTTTTTGTGCACGTGAAAACTATCGAAGAAATGGAAGTAAATATTCATAGCAATGTTAGTGGACAGAGGCCCTACTCGTCCCGTCGCCTGTGAAAACCCCCTCGCCCGGTGGACCTCTTTTCTATACAAGCCTTAGTGTTTATCGGTTTGGCTAGAAGGTTCTACATTTATCTACAAATATATAACAAATAAAACTTGCAGGCAAAAATAGTTAAGTTTCAATAGAAACACCCTTTTCTCCTGAAAATACAGCAGTATCTGAAATAATCCTCATTCTTTTTTTTATTTTATTCTGTCCCAGTTTTCTGCATCATACATCAGGAAGCTCTTTTGCCTACAAACTGAAAAAAAGTATCTACAAACTTTGTAAACAGACCTGCTTTTTCCAAAAAAACATAAATAACTCAAAATATTAACAGCCAATGGAGCAGAAATAAGTTTTGAATGAGCAAGGGCCAAAGGGATAAATATACAACACCATTCAGATAGAAGAGAAGCTAAAGGTTCTTTCATAATTCTTACAGACCATCTTCGAGCCAGGAGGGGGACCTCCCCTTCTCAATTAAAATAATAATAATATAACAATAAAAACAGGTCACTTTCAATCTGAGTTTAAATTCACCCCTTGTTTACCGAGAAAAACTAAAGTTACCGAGGAGGGAGGGGTGGAGACAGAGTCCTTGTGTTGCAGCGGGGTTTGAATAAGAACCAAAAAGAAAAGAAGACCAAAGCATCCACACCAAGCTGTACATTCCTCTGAATGTTTGCTGTTCTTTTAGTCCAGCCCAAGCCAAGCTCACAAGCCTGCGCTCTCCTTCCAGCCCTCCGTCTCTCTTCTCCAAGTGTTCCTTCGCTTTGTTTGAGTTGAGCTCCTTGGTGGCGGGTAGAAAAGTGGGGGTGGTGGGGTGGGGTCAGATCAAAGGGAGGTCTCCAGGCTGTGTAGGGGGCTCCCCGGGGCCGAGGGGCTTCCTGATTTGGGGCCCTCTGGGAGGAGGTGGTTGCTGCTCTCCACAGCATTATTGTTCTGGTTGGGGGAGGGAGAGAGGGGCGTGGTGGGGGCGACGGTGGTGGTGGGAGAGGGCGGCGTGGGCGTGGCGTTGCGGGGGCTGGCGGAGTTGCGCTTGGTGGGAGCGTCGTCCTCTGCGTCGGTGTCATCTATGAGGGGAATATGGGGCTCAGAGTCCTCTATCCGAAATTCAGGGTGGGTCATGAAGTTGTGGATTGATGATCGCGAATCGGGCTTCTCCATCCCCTCATAGAGGGAGACGGAGCTGCGGAATGCATTCACCACCCGGATCTGGAGGGAGGGAGAAGGGA